CTTGAAACCTTTTGTAAGTCGGCGTATATTTTCTTCGGATTCTCGAGAGCTATCTTTTTTGGCCAGTTTTTCAAACGTTCATTTCAGTTTTCATCTGCAAATGCCTCTTGCTTCCTTCTTCAGCTCTCAGCACCTATCCCACCGCGCACGTGCTGTGGTCGATAGCGATGTTGGTATTTTTTGTTTATTTTATTTATTTACAAGAGAACTAATTATAAATAATAAATCGACTGAAGGAACAAGCCCTGGCTGCCAACTCCTTCGGCTGTCAATATTAAACATAATGTATACCTTAGAAATTTACATAGCCCGGATGTTATCGAGGCTTGGTATTTTAAGAAGTTTTGATGGCTTCACGTTACCGATTATAGTTGACCTGTTTTTATGACGCAATATAGTGGTGTCGAAAGATTTTGGTTAGCATTTGTGTTGTATTTTTGTGGTTCGAAAGATTGTTTATTATAGAAGAATTGAAAGATAGCCATGATGGGTAGGTAGTTTCTTTGATGAATTCTGGCTTCGCAATTTTGTTGGCTTCATTAAGATAATTTAATGCTTTCATTATTGTTGTTGGCTCATTTGTTAATTTCACTATATTAAAAAGGAGTTGACTTTTGCATTGAAGTAACTTCGGTATGAGCATCATCGTATTGCATAGTGTCCGTGTCCTATGATCAATTTGTGGAAGACCAGCTTCAGTTAACACCGCTTTGATTAAAGAAGTGGGGAAAGCACAGATGCTTCTTCTCGCCACTGTATGATATGGTAAGTTACCAGACCAAAGTCTATTTTCGATAACAACAAGGCTTTTGTAATATTACTAGAGTTGATGAATGAATATGGCAGTGCTTAGAAGTTAGAAACTTAATAATATTTAACCTAGAAAATAAGCTCATTCGAAAATATTTACAATGATCTTTATAAGTAAGTTTCTTATCAAAAATTATGCCAAGAATTCCTAAGGAGTCTGTGTGTGGAATTTGGGTATTGGAGAAGGGAAGGTTCGGAAACTTACGTGTACATTTTCGTTTCCTGCAAATGTGGAATGATGTGCTTTTATTTAAGAAAATATTGGTGCCAGATGATTTGGAGCACACGGATATGTCAGTTGGGATTTCTGTAAATATTGATTTGACTTGCACTCAGATCCGAGAAAATTGACACATCGCCAGCGTATATTACGTGGTCTATGTTTGGATTTGCATATATTAAGGAACTAAGTTCATTAAAAGCAATAATGAATAGCGTTGTCGAGAGGGGGGAACCTTGTGGAATGCCATTATGAATTGCGTACGTATTGGACATGTGGTTTTTAACATTAACGCAAAAATATCTATTAGATAGAAAAGCCTTGATGAGGTTATGCATTTTACTTCCGATTCCCCATTTTCTTAACTCCTGCAGTACAATATGGCCACCAATTCTGTCAAAGGCTTTCTCAAAGTCTAGACTTAGGACCGATAAGTGGTTTTTGGAAGACATAGCTGCTGACGCATGATGTTCAAAGTACAGAAGGGGATCGATAACACTGAGGCCGGTTTGGAAAGCGAACTGATTTGGGCTTTCCCTTTCTTTTGGCATACCACCTGATTCTTCAGGAAACTGTTTTTTAAGAACTTCTGACATACAAGGTATTAATGGAATTGATCTGAAATCTGAGAAAGACGTATTTGCTTTATTTGGCTTAGGGATAGGGATGATTAAGGCTTTTTTGCAGTTTTGGGCATAAATACCTTGATCCATAATACGGTTGTATGGGGTTATAAGCTTAGTTTTTAGGTTGTGGGGTAGGTTTTTTAAAAGGGGGTAAGAGATTTTGTCAGATCTCGACTATATTGCGAACAGTATAGTCGAACTCTTCTATTGTAATTGGGGATTCAACAAGAATAGCTTCGTGACATGGTGTAGGGTTCAGATAATATTTTGAGATTATTTGGCTTGAAAATGTACTGAAGTTAGCATAAAAATTGGAGTTGTGAGAAATATTTGGCCAGGTTGATGCAAAACTTTCTGCAATTTTTTGGGGATCATAAATAAGACCTTGCGACGAGTAAACGAAATATATTCTATTATGTTTGGAAATTCCAGAAATAGCTTTTATGCCACTCCATATTTTTTTGGAGTTGGTAGTGGAATTTATGTTCGCGGTGAGCTTCTGGAAAGCTTGGTATTTAGCAGATTTTAATTTTCTTCTGAAGAGCGCATTTGCTTTTTTAAACTTAATTAAGTTCTCTATAGATCTGTTTCGTTTATATGACGCCCAGAGTGATTTTTTTGTACTCCACAAAGTTTCTAGGAACCTTAACCAATACGGAAGTTTGGTGTTGAATTTTCTTGTATTGGAAGAGTGTATGATTCTTTTTATTTTAGATGCTTCCACGTTTATATTATTTGAAATTTCGTTGGAGTTAGATAGGTAACAGAAAATTGCGCACTAATTATGCCAATTGGCTTTATCTGTTAAATACTTTGACCTCGGTTTAACGAAGTACAGAATAGGAGATGTTAGGGTTGTTATAACTGGAAAGTGGTCACTATTGCGATGGTCATCTAGTGTGAAAGATGTAAGCTTAGGAGCAATGGATGTAGAACTAATGACAATATCTATGTGGGTAAAGGAATGATGTGATAAGAAGTGAGTGGGGGCACCATCGTTAAACACAACAAGTTTTTTTGCCAATATTGCGGCTTCGATTAAAGCGCCTCTATGGTTTCTAGAAATCGAACCCCAAAGTGGGCTCCATGCATTGAAATCACCTAAAATTATAAATGGTGTTGAAAGTGCATCTTTTATATAAATGATGTCTTTGGAGCTAAAGCTTTGTTAAGGTGGAATATAGCATGAGACTACAGAGAGTTTGAAACCCTTGTCAAGTTCGATTGGTACAATGAAAATATATGAAGAGATAAGAATTCGCTTGTGGTTGATTGATTTGTTGATGAAAATTGCAGTGCCTTGCTTCGCTGATTTATTTTGGGGAGGGTTAAGGTAATATCCTACGTTTTTGTGTGGAGTGTATGCTGTTTTATTTACTGGAAGGCGAGTTTCTTTCAAAGCAATTATGTGATGTGAATATTGATTAATTAATAAGTTTAAGTCTGGGTAGTTGTTGAATAGACCTTTCAAATTCCATTGCAGAATTTTCATGATCTATTCAATGGAAGTGCCAGTTGATGAAAAGATGAGATATGAACTATTAAGGTGAGAAATAAAGTTTGTAATAAGTGGAATTGTTGTTGTATAGTAGATAGCTAATGCTTTAGAGACACGACTGCCATTGTTGTTGCCTAAGAGTGCGTTGAGTGTGTTGAGTTAGCTAATATTTGTCTGTTTTCTTTTGATTCGCTGTTCATATTTATGTGTGTTGTGTTATTGTCAGTTTGTATGGTGAGTATCTCTTTCAATTGGGTGAATTTTGGGCATGATGCAGAAGTGTGATCGGCTAAGCAATTTACACAATGAGAACGTTTACATGGTGACGGGCTGTGCGGTGGAAGAGCACAGGTATCGCATACAGGGGGCTTGTTGCAACGTTTTTTGTATGGCCTTGAACTTGACAATTCTTGCACCACATAGGTTTTGGACTTGGTTTGCACCTTGACTGTGTACCAGGAAACATCGATTTTTTGTTCTTTTAAATTTTCAATTATTTCTTCTACACCAATTTCGTTCAAGTAGGGAGCGTAAATGGTACCTTTAGAAAAGTTAAGATTTGCATGCAGGTCCATTTTAACATTACAAATTCCTGCCAGCTGCTTTGTTGCTGCAAATTTTTTTGCTATTATGCTGTTCTTGACAAGTAGTAATAGGTTTCCATTCCTAAGTTCATTTTTATAATTTTTGAACTAATTCCTTTTAATGCCTTATGAACAGCGAAGCAAGAAAATTTGGCACTCATAGTCGATGACACTACCGAAAACCATGGAGCGAAACGTACGGTGATTGAGAGGAAAGCGGTACCCACGCCAAGAAAGAAAAAGCCGATCAACTGACCATTTTTAAACATCTCTTAAATATACCGCACTGTTATTGGCAGCAACCTCTGTGAGCAGAATAACAATGACAATCTGAGGCTAGCTTATAAACATACATTTAATATCTAAATTGTAGCATATAAACTTAACTTTTCCCAAGCTGTGACTGAGACTTGGTTCAGACCTTCTATGGAAAATATGCATATTCTGTATGTAATTACCCGCTCGTAAGAAATGATAAATCCACCAGTCCTAAAAACAACGCAACGCAAATTAATTTATTTTCTAATATAAACTTCAAAAAGATTTATATAATTATCTCACTCTTCTGAAACTGTTGAAAGTATATTTATTGAATGTGGTGATCATGTACAAAAGCGCTCAGTAAAATATCGGAGTTTTCTTTGAGTCTGCATGCTTCTCCTCATTTGTGGCGACTTAAATGTTGATACGTTGTGGAATAATGTTTTCTAGACACTTCATGAACTAGTTTCACAGCGTTGGTATAACAATAATAAATTAATATGAAACTAGGTTTGCAACATACTGCAAGTCAAGAATATTAAGCATTGGCAGTAGTGTAAGCCATGTTAACCATTTTTTTTTTTGTTTGCCAGGGGTTTCTACGATTGAGGCTGGTGTCATGAGCATATTTTTTCTTGAAATAAAATCTCATGACGGCGGCCGCGGTAGCAGAGTGGTTAGCATTGCGTACTGTCATTCGGAAGGCTCGGATTCATATCCTGGTGTCGTATTAACATTCAAAAAGGTTAAGGAAAATTAATTTAAATAAAAAATTAAGTTAATTTTTCTAATTGCAGTCGCCCCTCAGCAGAGAATGTCAACCCCTCCGAGTGTATTTCTGACATGAAATAAAGCTCCTCATAAAAAAACCATCAGCCGTTTGTAGGCGGCTTACTACACACTGTAGGTCCCTCCATTTGTTAGAAAAACATCAACACGCTGAACCACAAATCGGAAGATGAGCCCGGCCGAAAATCACTTCAGCGGTTACAAAGCGCCAATTATATATATGTGCATATATAAATTCTCATGCAAAAGCATTTGCTTTCTTCTGTACATTTTTATTAATGCAATAACCTCCTCTACGTTTCATAATCAATGGAAAATTACCCACGTCATTCCGGTGGTTAAATGTAACTCCCAATACTTTCAAATAATATCAGACATGTGTCTCAATAATTCCTTGAGTAAATTTCGATCTGGGTATGCATATGTAGATCAAAACATAGTTGTTCCACAGCCATTATGAAAATCATAGACAACATCTGTCCTGCTTTCGATAATAAGCTACTTATCTTCTTAGTACTTTTACATTTCTCTAAAGCTTTCGACACAGTAAACCATGATGTTCTTCTATTAAAACTGAAAAGTTATTTTGGTTTCAATTCAACAGCAGAAGCTACTTATCGAACAGATATCAGCAAGTTCAGGGTGAAGGGAATTAGTTCCGAATACAGCGCGTTAAGGTAGAACAAAATAAAAGTGTGGGTGTCGTTCGCCCTGTTTTCCTGATTTTAGTGACATAAATTGTTTTTGACAAACTTTTTTTCGTATATATGAGGCATGATGAAATAATAAACTGGTGAAGTAAGCAGAGTAGAAATTCCCTGCAAGACGAAGGTAACCATTTCACAACTAATACCGTACGACTACGTCGTTTTACCACTACATCCACAAAACTATTTTTCGTTCCTGTAAGGCAGTTTCTGTAGTATGTTAGAAAGAGATCTGCGTATACACATTATTCAAATATGACTTTTGAAAACTTTCCGTCATTTACTTTTTCATTTGAAGGCGCAAAGAGGTAAGACTCTTTATTTTACATTTTTTCTAATAAATAATAACATAAATCTTTATTACAGATTGACTGAATAATTTTAGAACAGTAGCAGAACTCAAATAGCGAAAAAAACAAATGAGGTAAATATGTGTACATCCGAATATATATATAAATGTGTATGCGTTGCGCTTATTGTTGCAGTTTTTCCTTTAGGTAACATCAAAATAATGTTGTAATTCTTGATTACAGGTCGATACATGCATTTATATGTGTATGTATGTATGAATGTTATTGCAGCTTAATTTTTTTAACATACGAATAATTGTTTATACATGGTATCCGTCTGTTACTTTACATACGTGCATTTGTTATTTGAATTGCTACTTTTCTTACAGCCGTGGGAAAAAAATAACAAATTTCCCCTCTTTTTTTCACTCACTGTATTTAACGGTATGCGATATATGTATATTCGCCTTTTTAAAGTTTTTGTTATCGTATCGGTAATACAGCTGTTATTAAAAACAAGCACATATGCTATTCAATCTGCCAGCAACTGGTTATTACAAACAAATATATTTGTTACCCGACGTGCTACTAATTAGTTATTAAAAACAAATGTATATGTTACCCGTTTTGTTACCCATAGGCTACTGATCTTTTACCCATATTTCCTTTGAAATGAAAAATAGAAATTTCTAAGATTATTTTTGTTTATTTATATTTACATTTTTGTTTTATAAAGTTATAATTTATTTTACAAAAAAATACATGAAAATTGTTAATTTTTGTTAATTTTAAATTAAGCACATAAAAATTTATGATTTTATATAAATATATACTACCAAATATTATTTATATATTAATTTGTTTTACTTAATAGACAATGGTACTAGAATTTTTACTTAACTTTGGAAATATACATATAGATTAATGTACCTAGGAAAATATTTAAATAATTATAAATACTTAAAATAATAAACATTTCCAGCATATTTCAAGTATTTCTTGGTGACATCTTTATTTCTTCAGGATATCTGTAATACAAAATAAGAAAAAAAGTGTTACTTGTATGGGAAATAGTAATTTTGCTGAAATGTGTTTTTTTTTTAATAAATTTCTTGAAATTAAAATTAAAATTTTAAGATTAATGCAAACTAGTTAAAGTTAAATTTTTAAACAAAAAAAACTTTTGTTACAACGTTGGCAATTGCTACACACGCGTATATGTATGACTGGCGCGTGCATATCAAGAGATAAAAATTTTCACAAAAAAAGCAAATTTCATATGAGGCAAAAGATAATTAAATACACTTTCTTTTACTATTCATTTAAATTAATTTATTTGAAGTTATTAAGCAACATAAGACTTTTTCAAACAACATTGCCATTTACGACCAACAATAACAATTAAATTATTAAACAAAAAATAAAACATGCATATTCGTGCATACATAAGTACATATTCTTACACATATGTATGTATATGCTGTTAACTTACGTTTTGCTTTAATATTTTGATTTTGGTTTTAATATATCGGTTGTGCTCCTGGGCTGGAATACATCCAAACGAACCTGTAATAAGAAAACAATTATATTACTATATGCTGGTAAATATATGCAGATACTGTTAACTTTCCTTATTTCTTTATATTCTAGTGCTTGAAATTTGCAACTTATGCTGGAAATACCCATTTCACTTACCAGCCGTCCATAACTGGCGACGTTATCGACGCTGCTGAGAGCGGCGAAATGTTGCCAGCTGCCAATGTGTTTGCACACTTTTGAACAAATTCATAATTTTCGTCAAGGACTTTCATAATTTATATGCTTGAATATAAACGCAAGACAAATATAAACGATCTACATGGTAACAAATAATTAGTTACGCATTTAGTTTTCATTTCTTTTGAAAAAAAATACGCATTTTCTTCGATTATTTAATTTTACTTTAAGAAAGACTATACTGGCAACCTTGTATAGCAACGAAAAATGAGCCGAGCCGGTTTTACGGAAAAAATCAAATCGGCTTTGGTTTTTGCGGGACAACCGTCACTAACGGCATGGGCAAGCGGTAACAACTTTGTGTTTACATGGCGCTCTCATAAGATAGGTTACTATGGACGGCTGGTACGTGAGTTGGGTAGCTCCAGCATTAGCCGGAACGTATTTAATCGATCTATAACAAAGAACTGCGTTATTATTAAATATTGTACTATATCTAAGCTTACCTCTTAGCGTCTCCAAATGAAAAAGTAAATGGCGGAAATTTTTCAAATGTCATATTTGAATATTGTGTATACGCAGATCTCTTTCTATCATACTAAATAATCGAATTCGATATATGTTACTCCCCTCACTACAGAAACTGCCTTACAGAAACGAAAATAGTTTTGTGGATGTAGTGGTAAAACGCCGAAATAGTACGATATTAGCTACGAAATGGTAAATTGTAAAAAATTTAACATTTTATAATAGATTCAGTGGCGTGGTGGTTTGACGACAAAAACAAAGTTGAAACTCAGCGAAGACATCTGAAGAATTAGTCAGACGATGAAATGTGATATAAGTTGTGTTAAAATTGAGCAGAAATAATCAATGACGGCACGTAGTCTACCGTTCTTTAAAATTTACATACGGTAGTAGCAAGAATCGCCCCTGGAAACGTAAGCAACCCTTGTGCAAGATGCGATAACCAACCCGGGTGGAGCCTTCGGTAACGGCTAATTAGAGAGGAAACTACAGTGGATCCACTCCGACTTATTCGCCAGAGGTGCAGCTGCGAGCGGGCGTCGGTCTTGAAGCAAGCGGAAATGAAAAATTTTACAACGCCTCGGTCGACGACCACCGCAAACAAATTTGGGATCATGATTTAAGGGCATGCACCTAGAATGTCCGGTCCCTTAATTGGGAAAGCGTCGCTGCCCAGCTGGTTAATGTCCTCGTATGAATAAAGGCTGACATCACCTCCGTCCAAGAAGCGCGATGGGCGGGAAAAGGACGAAATCGAGTAAGTTTACTACAACGGCCATATAAAGGGTGTTGGTGTTGGATTTGTAGTGGGAGAGAAGCTCCGTCATCGAATACTGGCGGTGGATGGGCGTCTCGCCACAGTCCTCACCAAAGCGAATTTCAACAAATCATTAATTCCAGCTTAAAAAAAATTCTTCATGCTACTTGGCAGTCCCCTGATCGAAAAACACAAGACCAAATCGATCATTTTATGATAGACGGAAGACATGTCTCCAGTGTTCTTGACGTGCGTACACTCCGAGAACTCAACATCGACTCGAACCTTTATCTTGTTGCAGCGTAGATCAACAAGCCCAGGGAAAGTTCGACGTTGAAAAGCTGCAATTACAACACGCTCCCAAACGACTTTCTACTCGACTTTACGACGAAAAGACGTTCCATTACCTGACCATGAAGAAGTTCGAATCGTAATCGCTAGCTTAAAAAACAGCAAAACGGCTGGAACTGACGGCCCACTGACAGAACTATTCAAACATGGCGGTGAAGATCTGTCAAGGTGCAAGTATCAGCTACTTTGCATTGTATGAGAGACTAAAGCCCACTGTCAACAAACTGATTGGACCTTATAAGTGTGGCTTTAGACCTGGTAAGTCAACCAGATATTCACCATGCGTCAAATCTTGAAAAAGACTCGTGAAGAGAGGATAGACACTCATCACCTCTTCGTAGATTTTAAAGCAGCTTTCGAGCTGACCTTACGCCACTATGTCTGAATTTGGTATCCCCTCAAAACTTATACGGGTATGAAAACTGACCTTGAGCAACACCAAAGGCACAGCCAGGATCGGGAAGGACCTCTCCGAGACGTTCGATACCAAATGAGGTTTCAGACAAGGCGACTCATTGTCGTATGACTTCTTCAATTTGATGCTGGAGACAATAATAAGAGCTACACAGCTGAGTAGAGAAGATGCAATCTTCTATAAGAGTGTAAAGCTGCTAGCGTACGCCAATGGCCTCAACAACCGCGCCGTGAGTTCTGCTTTCTCCAGACTGGATAATGAAGCGAAGGATATGGGTCTGGTAGTGAACGAGGTCAAGACGAAATATCTCCTGTCATCAAACAAACAGTCATCGCATTCGCGACTTGGCCCCACCAATAATAATTAGCCTTGAAATCCAACGCAGAATCACTTTTGCCAACAGATGCTACGACTGAGTAGGTAATTGAAAGGTAAAGTCTCCTCCTGACGAACGAAAACCTAACTTTACAAGACCATCATCGTTGGCGGCCTGCTAAATGGTGCGGAAGTTTGGCCGACTACAGCGTCTGACGAGTCGGTGTTAGGAGTTTTCGAGTGAAAAATTTTGCAACCGATTTATGGTCCTGTGTGCATTGGCACCGACGAATACCACAGTTTAGTGAATCAAGAAGTAGGGGCTACCCTGGCCAGGTCATGTTGTCCGGATGAATACGAATATAATCTCGGGAAATTTTCATTTTTCCGTTTAGGAATTTCAGTCTTCAGTTTTCCCTGCGCGTATGCCAAAAGTTCCAAGTTTCGATGTCTGCATAGTTTGTCGATCCCCCTGTTCCACCATCATTTTGGTTCACATCTATTGTTTTCATCAATTTGTATTGTGTTGCTGTTCCACTACCAACATTCTATTTGATTCTTCGAATGTTCATCCAATTCTTATTTTCGATAGATTTAAATTGGATTATTTGTGAGTTAGTTTGTGGTTATGGTGTTTTGCCTGTTGATTTCCTCTTGGATTCTGTTGTTGCTCATTTTTATGTCTTTGCTGAACGAGTACTCATTTGTTGCACTGCAGTAAGTGTTCCGCTTCTGCGTCTTGGGAAATGCTGTTTCTAAAAATGCCCCTGTATTTCTGTTTCGGCTCCGTTAGAGTAAGGTTTTCCAGTGTCATAATCTGTTTTATAGTATATGCTTCGATCTTTGCATGGCTTTCTTCTTCAATAGCCTTGTGCGGACCTTTGCCATTAGCGCATTCCTGGTTATCTCTGCATGTTGTTCCCGTTTCGTGGGTTTCACCGCATGTTAGCTATTTAAATTGTTGCGCAAAGTGGTTAAATCTGAAGCAAATGCAGCATTATGAGAAGTTGAGGAATGGTTTTACCCTAATTTTGGTATAACTGTAAGTGACTTCTCTTGGTATCTTCAAGCCATTGAATACTACTTTTACCCTACGGGTAGGGATTCTTTCTCCGTTTACTGATCAGTATTAAGATCTAAGTAATTGCCCCTTCCCACTGGTGAGGGGAAACAAGCTACTTGGTTGAGATTTTGTAAGAATCTAATTCATTCAATAATATCAAGGTTTTCATATACAATTTCTTAAAACTATTTTCCTAATCTATTTATGTATGTTGGTGTGTATATAATTATATACATATAATTGGCGTTTTGTAACCGCTGAAGCGATTTTTCGGCCGAGCTCCTCTTCCAATTTGTGGTTCTGCGTCTTTACGTTTTTCCAACAAATGGAGGTACCTTAAGTTTAAACTAAGCAGCCTCCGAACGGCAGATGGTTTTTTATGAGGAGCCTTAATTTCATATCCGAAATACACATTTCCTACCATTGGGCCACTGCAGATAGATAATTTAGCTTAATTTTTTATTTAAATTAATTTTCCATAACTTTTGGATGTTGCTGGCAGCGGGATATGAACACGGGCCTTTCGAATGTCAGTACGCTAAGCTCTGTGTATATAAATAAAAATTTTTTGAAAAAAACACGATTGAAGCCTGGTTTCGAAAGAACTGAAAAAGCATTAACGAAACAAGCTTCAAGAATCGTAACAAAATTACGTTTTAAAAAAATGTAAGAACGCAAGGAAAATATTATTTGCATGAACAATTATGGACAACGAATTACCGTACCAGTTTATTGTGGGAAAGAATGCTCAATAATATTATATTTAAAAAGAGTGAAGCCGTTATGCTGCCCAAAACTTATTTATTAATTCATTTGATTCGGAACTAGCTTAATTTTATATTGCTTTGGTCACAAGTTTCTTTTGGAAAAGCATTTAGCGCACTTTCATCGATCTAGAACAGAAAATATTTATTAAGAATGGAGTAAAATTCATTGGTATTACTATATATCTGATTAATACTTCGGTGAATAATCCTTATTTGTTATAACTGCTTCACACATGTGGTGTAAGCTCCCTATTAACTTGTGGCACCTGCTCAACTGTATAGAGTTCCAATTTTTTCTACTCAACAGAGCAGTAGCTTCCTCTGACCAACAGTACTCAATTATTTATGCACCCGATCACAAGTGATAACAGAAGACATTTGATTGTGCGAAATGGTTTTCCAATACATTTGCGATGCAATTTGATAAAACTGAAACAACAACAGCAAAGGAAAAATTATCATATAAAAGTACTTTTTTTGGAATTTGAGGAGATTTTAATAGTAATAATGACCTACTATTGAGAAGAGAAATGAGAAAGTGTTATTCTCAGAAAAGGAACTGTAATTTTTATAATAGTAATTATAGTGCGCTTAAACTCTATCCATAGCAGTATGTATGTACATATGTATGTATATTAATTAGAATTAAAAAATAATAATAAGGCAGAGAATTATTGCAATAATTATTATTGTTATAACAAAATATCGCGGACCTACTATTCATGGATGTCGAAAGCATTACATATTATATATTGCTTGAAAATATATGTATGTACGTGTATGTACATATGTATATGTATTCGAGAAGAACTTGAGCTAACAGAATTCGAAAATAATTTTTTAACCGATATACATATGTACATACTATGGGCTTTTATTATATGATTTTATGACAAGCTCCACACCCTAAAATATCATAAATAAAAAAAATATTCGGAAGAAAATATCAAATTCTATTTTAACATATTTCAGGTGTTATTTTTTGCATCTTTGACCCCAGATACTTGCCAAAATAAAGATCCAGTCAAGAAAAGGAAAGCAAGGCCACGAGCCCCACGAGGGACGCAGCTACCGCGACGGATAACCCGAACGGATCTGGTGACAGTGAGTCTCATTTCGGCAAGTGAGGGGAGGGTGTTGGAGCCCTTAAAACAACACAAGAAAATATACATACATATGTATATACATATAAACGAAATTTGAATTTGATAATATGTACATACATACATACATACATATATATATGTATATATAAATAATGGAGTATTTTTAAGTACATACAATAGATAACCTGAAGTTTATAAACCAGTTCTATTATAAAATAACATTATAACTTAATGTAGTGTTCCTGATGGTTTTCACCTCACTAGAAAGAGGTCTTGTAGAGGGTTGCACCTTCAAAGCCTTTACGAGAAGTAGTTATTGTTGTGGTAAAATATTAGAGATTATGTCTAATGGCTCACAACTAAAGTGATGCAGCTATCTAAGAAATAGTGTAATAAGCTTTATCCAACATTTAAATAAATTTCCAAAAAAACATGAATGCCAGTTAGTAGCCATAAATATACACATTTCATTAATGCTTTCAAAATGTTATATTTTATGTTTAATTAATGTAATTTACAACAAAAACCAACTTCAGTATTAAATTGTAAAAATGATGCACAAAGATTTAGCGTTAGTGGAGTCGTCTTGTCGACGGTTTTTGAATGCAAAGTAAATGCCGCAAGCAAAATTGGTGTATTTTGACATTATAATATTGACATTGGGTGAGTGTAGATCAAAATAGGTCGCCAAAAAAGTATTGAAGTGCGCGAATTAATTCCAAAACACTATAAAGATAATAAAAATCAGCGTAAAATCGTGGAAATGGTGATATTAGGCCAAGGAACTGTTCAGCATATCGTAAAAGTCGTGTGTTAAATAAAACTAAAACTGTTAAAATATTTAACGAAAGTGATTCCCGATGGATTGTACGGAAAATACGCGAACAACCTTTCCTTAAGTGCTCCAGCTTTTAGTAAAGAAGTGCTAAAATATCTTGAAAAAAGCTGTAAACCAGAAACCATACGAAGAATCCTCAGAGAAGCTGATTTCAATGGCCGCACAGCTCGAATTAAACTATATACATATATGTGAGTGCTAAAATCAAAGTGCAAGGCTGAAGTTTGCAAAGGACCGTCTATTACAGATGAAAGTTTCTAGGACACCGTAATTTTTGCAGATGAAAGTAAGTTTGATCTGTTTAATCAGATGAAAACGGCTATGTATGGAGAAAACCAAATGCTGCGTTTCAACAACAAAATTTACGTAGCACTGTGAAACATGGTGGGGGGCATGTAATGCTATGGCGATGCATATCGTCTTCTGGAGTTGGAAATTTGGATTTCATAAATGGTACTATCCCGACACCGGGATTCTGATTTAAACATGTGCGTTTGCACAAGTTTAATTTACAGTATTTTTCACTCCCGGTTTGCCTTGGTGATATAAATAAAATGATCGACCAGAACCGTTGCCCGAATTTATATGGCAATTCGTTTAACGGATCAACAAATAGCAAACCGGAAATGGAACAGCGTTACAATTTTATTTATTAGTTACAAAAATCTTAAACTATTACAGAGTTACCAGAATTACATTAACAACGAACTTTTACTTATGGCAAAACGTATTTCGCTAAACTATGACATCCCCGCCCCCGTGAATTGACCCCGATTCACTACAAACTACATGCAGTTTGGCAAGTTTGGACGCAGGTCGTTGGATCTTTCCACACGTAGTCGACACGTCGGCTCGACGAACTTAACCATCTTTCCCAGGATACACCGTCTTTACCCGGCCGCGACGCCAGTCCTTTCGGGGTATCTTGCTGTCACATATTAAAACAAGATCACCTTCTTGTAACGGCTTCGTTGGAACACACCACTTCGTCCGACGGATCAGCGTTGGTAAATACTCTTCTACCCACCTTTTCCAGAAGCGATCTCGCATCTACCTGGCCACTCGCCACTGCTTCCGTAGGTAACAAAGCTTCTGATCGGGTTCGTCACAACTTGGTGTCTGCGCAGTATTCGCACTGCCCAGCAGAAAATGGTTTGGCGTCAAAGGCTTTTCATGATCAGGAGCCAACGGCAGGTGCGTAAGTGGGCGCGAATTCACTACATTTTCCGCCTCCACCAGCAGTCTATGGAACGTATGCTCTTTGGGACTCACCTTTTTCATTGTATAACACAGGACCTTCTTCACACACTGCACCATACGTTCCCAGGCACCGCCTTCAGACCCATTTTCAGGGCAGTTGAAAACCCATCCTACGCCTTTCAATGTCAGCTCACCCTGCAACGCACATCAGTCGAACACCTCTGAAAAAAGCCTAACATCGCCAGTTATGCCAATGAAGTTCATAAAGTTCCGAATCACTAATATGCAAGAACCCGTCGACAGGTCGTAAGCAACCTCGAGATGAATGGCGCGCACTGTTAAACACGTAAATAAAGCCCATCGCTTCTCAGTTCTTCGGCCGACAGTCACATTTACTGGGCCAAAATAATCCATTCCAGTGTACGTGAAAGGCCTCACATATGGCGTTACGCGGTCTTCTGGGAGTTGTCCCATCATCGGTACGGGCGGCTTTGTTTTCCTTAGTTTGCATATATTGCAATTTGCAATGACCCCACGAATGACCTTTCTCAAGTGTGGGATCTAGAACTTCTGGCGAATCATACAAATAGTTGCCTCCCTATTTTGGTGCATCATTCTCTTATGCTCTTGGGCGACTACGAGGCGGAGCAGAGGACCCAGGCAACAACTCTCCTCAGTTTAAGAAACGATGAAAATCTGTTAAATTCAAAAATGCTGCTTCTGGCAATTAATAAAGCATATTTCGGCCGAAGTTCTTCGTTCTCGTCGGCGTTTACAAAGGGGTGTGTTGTCTGTGGGCCAAATGTGCTCTGACTGATATAAAAAATCTGGACCCATGAACCAACGTGAGGATGGATTGAGATTAACAATTATATTTGTCATCATACGCGATCCTAATACGGCAGCTTGCAACTCCAATCTAGGAATACTTAGTGTCTTGAGCGGCGCACTGCTTGACCTGGCGTACACAATACTTACTTGCACCGCTTTGTCCGGGCTCTCCGCTCTCCAAAATGCTACGGCTCCGAATGCGTCTTCGCTCGCGTCAACAAATATGTGTAATTGTAGAGATTTTGGCTCGCCCAACCTGAAATAGTGGCGTAGAACTGTGCACTCTATAACCTTTAGCAACTGCTTCCGGAAATTATTCCACATGTCGTTAATATTACTAGGAACGGGCTCATCCCAGCCTAAACTAAGTTTCCAGATTTCGCGTAAAATCAATTTGCCCGTAATGGTGAGGTGGCACAGGAATCCCAAGGGATCGAATATGGACATGACGATGCTCAGTAGCATTCTCTTTGTGGGCACTAAATTGCCACTCATAACTTGCGAATCGATTCCATGGAACTCAAACCGGTATGTAAAATGGTCACTTGACGGTTGCCACGACATGCCTAAGACTTTCCCAGATTGCATGGCTTCTTTGGAGGTAATGGTCAAGGCTGTATTTTCACCACCCAATGCGATCGCGACTTCCAAGAAATTCGACCTGAATTTGCGCAGCTGGAAACCGGCGTCTTTGTGAATGTCGAGAACCTGTTTGGATATCTCTATAGCTCTATTAGCGGAATGGAAACTATCAACATAATCATCCACATAGTGATAGTCCGTTATAGCTTGGATTGCACGCCGATCGTAGTTGCCATGTTCCGTCGCATTCTTTACCTTCACAAAATGTGCTGAACTCGGAGAGCATGCTGCACCAAATGTCATGGCTGTCATCTCATATACGTCAGGCGTTCGTTGGCTATCGCCATTGCGCCACAGAAATCTCTGGGCGCACCTATCTTCAGGACAGATTAAGACTTGATGGAACATTTCCTGTATGTCCGCACAGATGGCCACGGCGCCTTCACGAAAGTGGAATACCACGGACACCAATGGGCGATATTGGTGGGGTCCTTTCAGCAGTTGTGAATTCAGTGACACTCCGTGTGACGTTGCTGCAGCATCGAACCCAAATCTCAGCTTTCTTGGTTTATGCGGGCTTACCACAGCAAAAAGTGGAAGGTACCATGTCCTGGAACCCACTTCTCCTACTTCGGCTGGTTAAATCTTACAGACATACCCTTTGGTTACGTAATCCTTTATGATTTCACGGTATGCTTTACCAAACTCTTCATTATGGGCGATTTTCTTTTCAATGCTTACAAGGCGATTCAAGGCCATAGAATAGCTTTCCGGTAGTTGAACGTTGTCACTCCTCTACAGTAATCCTTTTTGAAATCGGCCAATTACCTTTACTGTTGTTTACTCAAGCAGCTTCTTAGCCACGCACACCGAACGACTCCACTGTGAAGTAGTTCTCCATCAGGTTATGCATCTGGCTTTCTGAAGTACTGACGTGAAAACAGGATGGCTTCTTCAACTGCAAACGGCTTGATGGCCCGATCACACAGACACCCAATTTGGTTTTGTGGCAAACGGCCCGTCACGATTGGTTAGTATCGGCTTGGTTGGCAATCCTAGATGTATTTCGGATATCTCCTTGACTGAGACTTTGCATGGGTAGGTTTAAGTTGGCTATACCATGGACGTAGCGAATCATATGGCGCTTCTTCATTCCCAGACCACTGATAAAAAGATTAGTTACGGCCACTTGTTCTTGCGCCGCCTTTCCCCCGAACCACTGGATTTCTACTTGACGCTGCTGACATTTAAGACCAAGCTCCTGCACCAGGGAATCGTCCATCATCGTAATAGAAGACCCTTCGTCTAAGAGCGCATATGTATTAACGAGCTTGTTTGGACCATATACTGTGACAGGAACTACACGAAACAATAAATTGCAGGAAGCCTGGGCAGAACAATTAAGAACGGCGTTATTCGGATTTGGTGCCTCGGAAATGATGGCAACCATCTACTGGACATAATTTACGACGACGACAATCTCGAGTAACATGCCCAGGAGATAGACAACTAAAACACAGGTGTAAACGCTTTGCCACGTTCCATCGATCCGAGACGTTGGCATCAGACAGGCGGCGACAATCTGCAACTCGATGATTCCCTTGGCATAATACCCATTTAAATAGCGTTGTTCTCCAGCTGC